GATCTGGAAGTCTGGTTTTGAGACTTATTTACGTGTTTTCTCATTTCGACTGGGGCGGGGGGCTGTTCGCGCCTGCACAGATTACCTCCTCCGAGCTGGGAGAGGTGGGACAGTGGCCAGGAACAGGGGTAGGGATGGTGACCCCAAAGCCCTTTCCTGTGGGCTGGGAGCAGTAGGAGGGATAGTGGCCGGGAAGCCCCTTCCTCTGGACCAGGAGCGGTGGGATGGTGGCTCAGAAGCCCCTACCTCTGGGCTGGGAGCGGTGGGAGGGATGGTGGCCCAGAAGCCCCTTCCTCTGGGCCAGGAGCAGCAGGACAGAAGGTGGCCCAAAAGCCTTTTCCTCTGGGCTGAGGCAGCGGGAGGGATGGTGACCAGGAGGCCCCTTCCTCTGGACCAGGAACAGTGGGACGGCAGCTCAGAAGCCCCCACCTCTGGGCAGGGAGCAGCGGGACTCAGTACGTTGGTCTGGTGGTCTGGTGTCCTCTGCGTCTTTGTAGTGTGGAACCAGGTAGCTGCCTGTCTGCAGCGGGGTGATTTGATGTCTTCCGCGCACCTCGGGACCTCAGTGGGGCGTGCACAGACCTGCCTGTCTGCAGTGGGCTGATTTGGTGTCTTCCGTGCAACTTGGGAGCTCGGTAGGGCATGCACAGACCTGCCTGTGTGCAGCAAGCTGATTTAGTGTGTCTTTGGAAGAATTCTTAATAATGTGGGAAAGGTTAAATTATATAGACTAGTATGATGTTGAGAGAAAAAATTAGGTTAGCAAACATTACTTGAATTATGTAAATACATATAGTATGCATTTATAAATATATCATAAAATTGCCATTAAAGCACCAAAATATTTGCAGTTCTTTTTGTGTTGTGGGATTATAACTGATGTTTTAAAATTTGTATTTATTTATTAAAGTTTTTTGCAGTGCAAGGATATTGAACCCAGGGCCTCAAACATGTTAGTATGCATTCTACTGCCAAGTGAAATCTTTAGCCAGCCTGATATTTTATTTTCTAAATGGTGTTTTACATTTTCTAGAGTAAATATGTATTATAATAAATTTATGATTTGTTCAGAAGATAGTAAAGACTGATAAAGTCAGAGAAGATGAAAGAAAAAGAATCAATAAATGAGACAGAGAAGGACAGTTTAGAGAGGGAAGTAAAGAAGCCAGGAGAGACCGGTATCCTAGAAACCTATGGGGGATGCATTTTGGGTGATCCACAGCACTGAATAGAGTACAAAGGTAAAATGTGATAATGACTAAAGAATATCCATTGGACTTTGCAATCAGAAGGTTGTTGGGGTCTTAGTGCAGTAGTAGGGGTTGAAGGCAGGTGTGGTAATCACTTTTTTGTCACTGTAACCAAGTACACCTCGAAGGAGGAAAAGTTTGTTTTGGCTCATAGTTTCAGAGGTTTCAGCCTGTGGTTGGCTGGCTCCACGGCAGAAACACTATGGTGGCAGGGCATGGCAGAGAAAAGCTGCTCACCTCATGGCAGCTGGGAAGCAGAGATGGTTGGAAAGAGCCAGAAAGGAAAGGCTAGGAAAAACATAGAACGTTCAAAGCCATGCTGTCATCCAGGTAGGTCTATCTCCAATAAGTCCATTCGGCTATTAACTGATGAATAGCTTAATCCACTGATGAGATCAGCACCCTCATGATCCAGTATTTCTCTAGGCCCCACTTCTGAACATTGTTGCATAAGTCTTTGGGGAAAACTTCATATTTCAGTCATAACAGCAAGTTATAAAATGAATGGAAAGTGAGGAAGTTTGGCTGTAGAAGGTAAAAAAGAGGAAAGGAGAGGTTGGGAATACCAAATGGCAGAGTTGAATGGGCTTATATTCTAAGAGAAAGGGGCATTAGAGAGGAAAATATTAAAGATTCAAGAGAAAGGACTAAGGAATAGAGAGTGACCTCTGAAGAAGAGAGGATGGTGTCCTAGGCAACTTGAGCCATTGGGTTGAGTCTTCTGGGTTAGAAAGAAGACAAGTGGGTGAGGACCGGGACAGGTGCTAGGTCAGTAGAAAGAGTTCTCTGATGACCCCTTTCCCAATGGCTAAGAATTAAGATGGTGAGATGTTGATAAAGCAATAATACACAATAGGGCAAGCCTTTGCCCTTGCTCCCCCGCACCATGTCTTTATTTCCATAGAATGTTCTGTTCCAGAAATGTAACCATTTGTGATGCACAGTGTTCCTGCCCAATGTATCAAAATGTTCTGTCACTGTTTGAGCTGCAGATGTTCCTACCAGGCAAATGTTCTGTTAACTCTGCCCCTCTGCTTCTGTGAGCTTGCTCATCTGGTACGTGTTTCAGGAATGTTCTGTAACTCCACCTTCCCACTTCTGTGAACATGCTCGCCCAGCACATAGGCCCACCCTCCTACACCATAGATCTCTATTTAAGGCTCCTCCCATTTCTACTCGGTGCTCAGAATTCGGACTGGGCAAGCTCCTCCTAGTCAGCAAGTAATAAAGGTTTTTCTCTGTCTCTTCGAGCAACTTTCAGATTGTCAGGTGTACAAATTGCTATGGGTGTAGCACTTGAGCTGTCGCACTTGAACATGCCACTTGAGCTATAGAACTTGGCTATAACACTGAGCTGTTCCACTTTGCCACAACAGTGTGACAGGATATCAGCCGTGGAATGTCAACCTCAATGCCCTTGGTGAATATTAACCACACAACATCCTGACTTCCATGAAAGGGAAGATGTGTCACCTGTCTTACTGTGCTTTATCTTTCAGAGTTGTGGAAAGTAAAAACTCAACCTTACCAACAGGAGCAATTGTGGTGGCTCATTCAGGCTGGACAACACACTCCATTTCTGATGGGAAACAACTGGAAAAATTGCCTACAGAGTGGCCAGATACATTACCACTGTCTTTGGCCCTGGGGACAGTTGGCATGCCAGGGTGAGTTTCTGAGTATATTTCATTTGTTTGAGTGACTGACACTCTGGTTTTCCAAAACAGATTGTAAAGAACTTGGTCAACAAGAAAAGACTTGGGAATTATAGCCCAGAGGCTGCTTGGAGAACATGGCAGGACTAAGGAAAGGAAGGGGAGCAACCTAAAATTATATCAGTAGATGAACGGATAAAGAAAATGTGACACACGCACACTCAATATTATACAACCTTTAAAAAGAAACAGATTCTGACATTTATGACAATATGGTTGAACCTGGAGGACATTAGTTAAATAAATCAGGCACAGAAAGACAAGTGCCACGTGATGTCTCTTATATGTGGAATCTAAAAAAGTTGAACTCAGAAGCAGAGAGTAGGGCTGGGGATTTAGCTCAGTGGCACCACACCTGCCTTGCAAACACAAGGTCCTGAGTTCCATCCCCAGTACAGGAAAAAAGAAAAGAAAAAAAAAAGAAGCAGAGAGTAAAATGATGGTTACCAGAGGTTGAGGGGCTGCGGCCTGGGACCTGAGGAAATGTTGGTCAAAAGGCATGGGGCCTGGGATTTAGCTCAGTGGTTCCAGCTCCTGCCTTACAGGCACAAGGTCCTGAGTTCAATCCCTGGTACCAAAAAAAAAAGAAAAAAAAGGCACAAAATTTCACTGAGGCCGAAGGCATTCAAAGGAGCTATTGTACAACATGGTTACTATAGTTAACAACAACATATTGCATTCTTGAAAAGTGCTAAGAAGGTAGATTTGAAGTGTTCTTGCCACAAAAATGATAACTATGTGAGGTAACATGTATGTTAATTAGCTCAATTGAGCCATTTCCACTGCAACTAAATGTGTATGTTAGTTTAATTAAACCATTCCATTATAACTAAATAACTATATATTTCAAAACAAGTTGTGCACAAGAAATATTTATATATACATTTTTTATTTTTTAGTTAATAAATTCCAAGAAGAAAAGAGTAGCCTAGTGTGTTAGTTACTTTTCTCATTCCTGAAACAAAATACTCAACACCCAGAGTTAAAGTTCAGGGTTTGCAGAGGTTTCATTCCACAGTTGGCTGACTTCAAGGCAGGGTGGCATGGAAGGAGGACTTCACACAGGAGAAACAGTTTATGGCCTGGCAGGCAGAAGGCAGCAAGCAGCAGTAACAAGCCCGCCTTCCCACTTTCCCTTTATATTCCATCCAGCTGTAAGCCTATTAATTGGTGGCACCCACATCAGGACAGGGGGGCATCCATTATCCATACCCTTAATCCCAGGATCATACCCTTAATCCACATTCACACACCCTAATCCAGCCACCTTCAAAACTCCCCACTTATGACTGCATGAGGCTTTGGGGAGACATAGAGATACAAATCATAGCACCTAGAATCAGCCTTGCAGCTAAAGGAAAGGGAAGGAAGAGATCCTCAAGTCAGAGATCCTCAGATATAAAGAGAAAGCATCAGTTCAAAGTAACAAGGAGCATGATCAATACAAGCATCTGACAAAAATGTGGCATAAAGGAATCAGCTCCTCCTGTCTCTGGGGGGCTCTTGGCTTCACACATCACTCATGTCTGTCTTCACTTCACAGTTTAGAAAGAGAGTTCAGTCTACCCTGCCTTTCCTTTGTCTTTCTCTGTGTATATCTGAGCTTCCTAATGTGCAGGAGTATCTGAAGTCTGAATGATTCAGATGAGTCACAAGTGTGGCTGTCCAGTCACTCAGCTTGGAACAGATTTCAAGTTCTTAAGCTTCTTATGGCTTCATCACTTAGAAAGACTCCTGCTCAGTCCATCCTGTGTCTTCTCTCCAGTTCCCAACTCACCTTTAGACCTCATTTCCTTTTATGTCTAAAGAAGCCCTTCTTCCTTCTCTTCCTCTTCCTCCACTCTTCCCCCTCCTCTTCCTCCTCGTCTTCTTATATGTGTGGTACCGGGGGTTGAACCCAAGGCTTTCACACTGAGCTACATCCCCAGCCGTCTTTTATTTTGATTTGATCCAGGGTCTTGCTAAGTCTCTAAATTGCTCAGGCTGGGCAATTTGCGATTCTTCTGCCTCAGCTTCCCAGACTGCTGGAATCATAGGCTTGTGTGATCATGGCCAGCACCATTCTTTCTTTTATACCTGAAGATCATTGCTTTTGAGATTCCTAAAGCTTTCCAAGCCTGGTATTTATTTACTTCCTTTCCCTAAGTTGTGTATGTTGCACGATCATTTTCTTTTCCCCCTTTCTGCCCACTTTCTCTCTCTCTTCCCAAAGGACTTCTAAAAAATGAAATGAAATGGAAATATTTACCACCTGTGTTAATCTGCTTTCTCTTGGCTGGGACCAAATATCTAACAGCCAAACTAAAATAGTTTATTTGACTCACGGTTCAGAGGTTTCAGTCCGTGATCAGCTGACTCCAAGGCAGAAACATGGTCCAACGTTGCCAGATAACAAAACTGCACCATTCATTGGTGGCCAGGAAGCATAGTAGGGGAATAGCACCAGAGAGAAAGGGGTGAGGGACCAGGTGTGGAACTCAAGATTATGCCTCCATTACCCACTCAGACATGCCTAGAAGTATGCTTTACTAAACCCCTAGTTGGCTCCCAAGCCAATCGAGTTGACAGTTAACTGTCACACCCCCAAATTTAGCCTCTACCAAAAACAATCTCCATATACCTCAACTTCATTATTCAGTCAGAATTTCAGCTCAAAATCACCCCTGCAAGAGAACATCATTGTGAAATTAGAGGATGCTTAATGCCATTTTACTTTCAATTACTGAACACTAACCAGAATTACAGCCTTACTTCCTGGTCTTTCCTGCCTGACCTGCAACCCTTGACTGGTAAGAGCTATTTCTCCCATCTTGTCATCCTACCCATCCTCCTCTGGACCGTGACACAGGCATTGTAGGAGAGCAGATGTGAAGGTAGGTAGACATGAAGAAATTTATGAGCAAGGCCCTCATGGCTTTCTGGGTGGAAAGTAATTTATAAATTATCAGGAGAGCCTGACTGCTAAAAGAGAAGACAATTTATCTACTTGTGTGTATTTCCTAGGCATCATCCCTATCCCAAGGACTGTGCTTTTATTCCAGTCAGTCAGCTTTATACCAGTGGTTCTCAGTTTTTGACTGGGAACCAACTTATGAAGAGAAAAGATTTGTTTTGGCTCTTGATTTTAGAGGTTCTGATGCATGATAGATTGGCCCTGTTGTTTTTAGACCTATGGCCAGGCAGCACATAATGGTAGGAGCACATGGTGAAACAAAATTACTCCCCTCATGGCCAGGAACTGAAAGAGAAAAGAGGAAGAGATTGGGGTCTCACTCAAGACATAACCTTAAAAACCTAAAGACCCTCCCCCCCAAAAAACTCCACCTCCTCAAAAATCCACCACTTGGTGCTATTCTGGGTGTTAAGCCTTTAACACACTGGTCTTTGAGGGAATTTAAGGTCCAAACTACATGTTTTTCTTTCCAAGCTGTTGATTCTAAGTTCCTCTTCATCCAAAGTTCACCTTTAATTTTGCACTTGGATTTCTTGTTGACTTCTCCAACCTATCTCCATTTTATTTTTAACAAGAAGTGAGGTTTGGTAATGGTCTTGTCTATGTTAGTTTAGTATGTCTAATTAAGTTAGACTCTGATCTCTGGAAATACCAAAAAGGTATTTGGGGAAAGGAGTTGCAGGATGCTATGGGTTTAATGATAACAATCCGAAAATGTATCCTCTGCTTCTCTTTTGGTGTTAGGCTAACTCACCCAGGAAACTGACATCAGTGTTCATTACACTGATGCTACACTGATGTTTACAGTTGCTAGCATTCATAAGAATTGCCTAGAGTGTTATTAAAATTCAGATTTCCATGGTTAAGTATTTCTGAATGAGTAAATCTAGGGTGAGACTTGAGAATCTAAATTGGTTTTTTTTTGGTACTGGGGATCGAACTTGGTACCTTGTGCTTGGAAGGCAAGTGGAGCTAAATCCCTGGCCTGAGAATCTAAATTTTTTTTTAAGAGGCTGTCTTTTATTGGTATATTTTAGGTGTTTAATAAAATGACATTTGTCATTAGAGATATGTACCTTTACATAGTCTCTCTTGGTTTTTATTTTTCCCCCTTCCCCGCCCTCCTTTCAACCCCTCCATCCCTATTTACAAAGACTTTGTTTCCTTTTTTTCATTTTCTCATATTCCATTCCCTTCTTTCCTTTCACCTACCCCTCCCAATTCCCCCTCCCCCCTCTCTTTTGCCCCTTTTCTTCCTATTTCACATTATCTATTATCTTTTACTCCTTATTTACACTTTCATTTTCTAACACTAGAGAAACTATTCAGTATTAACACATGTGTATCCTATTTATTTCAAGTAAGAGTATTGCCTCAATGTGCATCCATTTAGCTATAAATGTCTCTGATTTCTCATTTTGGATGGCTGAGTAGTACTCTGTTTTATTAAAAACCCCATATTTTCTTGATCCAGTCTCCAGTTGATGAGTATTTGGGCTGTTTCCAAGTTTTGGCTATTACAAATTGTGCTGCCATGAACATGGGTGCACATATGTCACTGTGGTATGATTCTTTTAATTCTTTGGGGAAGATACCCAGCAGGGGAATAGCTGG